CAGCCCCAGCCAAGAAACTACACACATGGTGGGCATTGATACCTGATACTCTTGCATAATATCTAGCTCTTGGGAAATTCTGCCTAACAAAGGCACCTTCTACTGGGCAATACTGAGCCAGAGCTCCTATTGAGCTAGCAGATTGAGATAACTATGTCATGGTACCATACTCTCCCAACTTGGTCTTGCTTTTTCCTCCATTATTTTTCACAGGTATTTTCTCTTCCATGAAGTCTCCTTTATTCTTGACTTTTGCATTCTTTAAACTCTCAACATTATACCCATGACCTTGTTTTCTTTTTATCTTGTTTGAATTTTGTATAGTTCATTAAAAAAAAAAAAACAACTGGTAAATTTTTTTTAAATATACATTTGTCATGTACAACTTGTGACCTTGAAGCATGAATGTGTGTGTGGATTGACTAAATAAAATTAACACATTATTAACTACCTCAAATAATTTTTTGTATTATGAACACAAAATCTATTATCAGCTATTTCTGAGGATACTATAAATTAACTGTGTATATGTGATTAACGTAGAGTAGATCATGTTGTATAGTAGATCTGTTGAATTTATTCCTTGTGTCCATCTGAAACTTTGCATCCTATGACCACTGTCTTCCCATCTGACCTAAGCCCCAACCCCTGGAAACAATCACTCTACTCTCTACCTCTATGGGTTCACTTTTTAAAGACCCTACATGTGAGCTCACGTGGCATTTGACTTTCTGTGGCTACCTTATTCCACTTAGTCAACACATCCTGGTTCATCTCTGTTGATGAAGATGCAGTTTCTTCCTATTTTTAAGGTCAAATAGTATCCCATCATGTGCATGAACCATATCTGCTTTATCCATCCATTCATCCACTGATGGTTACATGGGTTGCTTCCTTCTCTTGGCTGTTGGGACTAATGCTCCAGTACACATGGGACTGAAGATGGATCTTCAATATGTTGATTTCATTGTCTTTGGATACAGAACAAGTAGTTGGGATTGCTGGATTTAATTTCTTTTCAAATAGATGGGAAGACTTGTTTTAAAAACTTTCAGACTCAAATTAAAATCTGACCTGTATGTACAGAAAATCCAAATCAAAAAAGCTCGATACCCATAATTTGAAGCACAAGAAGTAGTACTCTGTTCTTTCACTATGCAGACCATTCTCATCCTTCAGGTCTTTGATACCTTTTCTCATTGAGAGTTTTTCCTCAACCCTCCTGACTTCAACTTGGCTCCTTGGCAGCTCTTTCATTTTCTTTTTCTTTCTTTCTTTTTGGTCATTGTGGTAGTTTGAATGTAATTGGCTCCCATAATTTCATAGGGAGTGGCACTATTATGAGCTGTGGCTTTGTTGGAGTGGGTATGGCCTTGTTGGAGGAAGTGTGTCACTGTGAGGGTGGGCTTTGTGGTTTCCTATGCTCAGGATACTGCCCAGTGTCTCAGCTGACTTCCTGTTGCCTTTTGATCAAGATGTAGCCAGCACCACATCTGCACACGCCCATGCTCCCTGTCATGATGATAATGGTCTGAACTTCTGAAACTGTAAGAGAGCCACCCAAATTAAATGTTTCCTTTGTAAGAGTTGCCCTGATCATAATGTCTCTTCACAGCAATAAAAACTCAAACTAAGACAGTCATGAAATACCACTTTTGCTTCCTTGTCATAGCATAGGACTTGTTGAATTGAGTACTATCCAGTTTGAGGATCCATCTGGTGTCAGAGATGCTGTAGACTATCCAGTTTGAGGATCCATCTGGTGTCAGAGATGCTGTAGACCATCTGAATCAGTGACTGTCTAGTCTTAGCTTGAATACAGGGAATGAAAGCTATCTAATACAACCCATTGCACCTCTACAACCTTTCCCTCTTTCCTTCTTTCTTTTTAACTACTTTAAAATTTTCAATTATAGTGTCTGTGTGTGCATGTACCTGTGTGTGTGTGTGTGTATGTGTGTGTGTGTGTGTGTGTGTCAGTGCAGAAGGAGGTCAGAGGGGTACCAGATCACTTGAAGCTGGAGTTACAAGCAACTGTGAGCTGTCTGATGTTGGTGCTGAGAATCAAAATTGGGTCCTCTTCAAGAACAATATGTGTACTCTTAATGACTGAGCCATCTCTCCAGCTCAAAAACTCTTAAAAAAAAAAAAAAACCTTTTTCCTTAGTATATATTCGACAACATAATGGGTATCCCTATAATGCTTTCATATATGCATCTAACATACTCTGATTTTACTTACTATCTATTATCGTTACTTGTGTTCCCCTCATCCCCACTCAATCGTTCTTTCCTATTCTTAAGCAGACTTCCTTTCACTTTCATGTTTTCAAAAATCTAGATTCTGCATATGAGGAAAAACAAAAACAAAACAAAACAAAAACCAAACCCACAGCTTATTTTGTTTAGCAGGATTACTTCTGGTTCCATTTCCTTTTCTACAAATGGCATAACTTCATTACTTATGGATGAATAATATTTATGTTGTATACATATCACATCTGCTTTATCCATTCTCCTGTTGATGAGCATTTAGGCTACTGTGAATACTGTTGCAGTAAAAACCTGAATGTTCAGGATCACTGCAGTATGTTGACTTAGATTCTCTTGAGTATATTACCCAGGAATGGTATAGGTATATCATATGATAGTTCTGTTTTTAGTTTTTTTTTTTTTTAAGAACCTCCATACTGATTTTCCACAGTGACCCAATTAATTTACATTTCTATGTGTTTCAGTTCTACATATGGTTTCATTTCTGTTATTGTGATAAAATACCCTAAAAGTAACCTAGAGGAAAACTTTATTTTGGTTCATGATTCCAGGTTATAGTCTATCAAAGCAGGGAAACCAGTCTCAGAAGCTGGAGACAGTTAATCACTTCTGATTAGCAAGAGCAGAGAGAAAGGGACACAGGCATGCTTGCTTCTTTGCTTATGAGTACATCTCACACAGTTCAGGACCCCTGTCTAGGGAACAGGGCTGCCTACAGTGGGCTGGATCTTCCCTCATCAGTCAACCCCGGAGACAAAACCACAGGCTAACTCAGTGTAGACCATTCCTTATTGACACTTCCCAAGTGATTCTAAGTTGTGTCAAGAATGAACATAGGGGTTCCTTTTTTTCAGGTTATTTTTTTTTCACCTTTATTCTTTACAATCTCTTCTCAAATATGATTTTCTCTATGTCTAAATTATTTAAAATCTTTCTATGGTATTAACAACTCTAATTGAAACTCTTAAAAATCATTGTTTTTATTATTGTTGTTGTTTTCTTTTTGAGACAGGGTCTTACTAGGTAGCTCTGGCTTGCCTAGAACTCACTATGTAGGCCAGGGCAATCCACCTGCCTCTGCCTTCTGAGTGCTGGTATTAAAAGGTGTGTACCACTAAGCTGTCCTGAAAACAGTATTTTAAAAGAGAATCAGCCTTTTCATGCTGCCTAGGGAGTAGTCTCCCAATTCACATTATCCTGTAAAGAGAAAACTCACAGTGTCTGGAGCCCTTGTCCTGCAAGTGGAGAAGGAGGACATCCTCAAATTCCTTGCAAGAGGAATCCACTCAGGTGGCAGCAACCTTGATGTTCAGATGGAAAAAGGCAAGCAACCTGAGCAGGGCCTAGGAGAAGCTGCTGCTGACAGCTCTAGCCATCAGTGCCACTGAGAACCCTGCCAATGTCAGCCTCAGCTCCTCCAAGAACTCCTGGGGCCAGCCAGCTGTGCTAAAGTTTGCTACCACCACTGGAGCCAGTGCATGTGCTGACTTTCACTTGGCAGATCTGAGAGGACTTCAGAGAGGGATGTCCTCTGGTGGTGACCAGTCCCAAAGCTGACCACCAGCCCCTCCCAAAAGTGTCTTATGTCAACCTGCCTACCCTTGCTCTGTGTAACACAGATTCTCCTCTGTGCTGTTGACATTGCCATCTCATGCAATGAACAAGGGTGCTCATTCAGTGAATGCTGGCTTGGAAAGTTCTGCACATGTGTAGCACCGCCTCTGGTGAGCATCAGTGGTGCTCATCTGGTCATGCCCGATCCCTATTTCCATAGAGATCCTAAGAGATTGAAAAGGAAGAGGGAGCACAGGTAAAAAGGCTGTGACCAAGAAGGAATGTCAGGGTGAATGGACTGCACCTGCTCCTACTGCTCCCAGACGGAGGAGGCAGACTTGTCTGAGGGTGTGCAGGTGTCCTCTGTGCCCATCCAAAAAAGTTCCCTAGTGAAGACCCGAATGTTCAGACAGTCACGGGACTAGTCTGCAGCCCTCACTGTGCAGGATGCTGAATCAGACGGAATCACAGCTAAGCAGTCATAAATTGTGTTCTGTAGGCACTTGAGCAAAAAAGACAGTAGGGTGGAAGACAAATAATTTCTTTTTCTTTTGCTTTCTTAATACAGGGTTTCTCTGTAGCTTATGGAGCATGTCCTGGAACTTGCTCTGTAGACCAGGTTGACCCCAAACTCACAGAGGTCTGCCTGCCTCTGCCTGCCCAGTGCTGGGATTAAAGGATTATGCCACCACCGCCTGGTAACAGTTTCTTAAAAAAAAAAAAAAAAAAAAGAGATTAATCCCCCATCCCCAAATAGCATCACAAATGGGATACAAATATCTTTAAATAGAAAGACTTTCCTCACTCATCCATTCGAATGCTGTGAATGTGCATTCATCAGGGGCCAGGAACAGTGAAACATACAGAAATAGAAAATGGACTCTCAGAGGAGAAAAGATCACAGCAACACGAAACACAGGCGGTGGGAGAGCATGCTGAGGGCCAACAGCAGGCCAGTGTGTCCATGTATGAATTCTATGGGATCTGTGCATATAGAGCACTGGAGATAGACACTCTTTAGGAAGTGAGATTTGAGCTCAGTTTGGGGGATGGGCAATTTGAGTCAGTGGATAAGTCATCTGACTGTCAGGCTGGGGAGAAATGTCTTTCCATGAGGGTCAGGGAGGAGCTTAATGGGGACAGAGGAAGTTGGAGTGAGAAGTATTTCCCCTGTCTGATTCCTGTCAATATCAATCAGTCATTCTTCCTACAGGAACCCCTTACCGGTTCATGTGTCCACAGCCTGGGGAGCTGACCAAGTCACTCTTCCCAGGCAAGAGCTGCTGATATGGGGGCCCTTCTCTGGTCACTCCTTCTGCTCCTTCAGGAAGGTGAGTGCTGCCTGTTGCTGCATAAAACTATCTCTGTACCCCTCTGCTCTACTTGGCCTTAGGCTAGTGAGACCTTTCCTTTGGGGATGAATGTGGCAATCCTTCTGTTGATAGCATCAAGGCTCATTCTCTAGCATGGCTATTATGACTTGCTCTGCAATAAATGTGGATGTGCATGTCTCACCGTAGTTGACTTGCATTGTGCTGAGTATGTACTCAGGAGTGATATAGCTGGATCCCAGGCTAGTTTGGAGGAACTTCCTTCTCATCTCCAAAGGATGGGGCATGACCTCATTGCAGTATGAAAGAGGAGGATACCTGGTGGACATGGATGGGAATGCAGTTCCAGAAGGACATGGAAAAAGGAAATTTTTAGATGGTGAAGAGATAAATGGGGACCAACCCTGGTCAACTCAGTTGCAATGGAAATCTAGAAATCTAAGAGGTAGCTAGAGTGTCAGACTGAGCATGGAAGCTAGAGAAGGTGTTCAGATGAGGAGAAGCCATAGCTACCATGCTAACTAGCCTTGGCTTCCCAGAGATATCAGCTGGGCTATATGCACCTCTTTTCAGTTGAAGGGTTTTCTGGAGATGATGAGGACCCTGAGGAAGTGGTTGCAGCTCTTCAAGAATCTATCATCCTCTCTCTGGAAATACCATCCAATGAAGAGGTTAAGGACATCATCTGGTTCTCTCAAAAAAACCTCGCCACAGTGGTACCAGGGAAAGAGGGACAGCCAGCCATCATCATGGTGATGGATCCTCGCTACCAGGGTCGAGTGGGCATCTCAGAGTCCAGCTACTCTCTGTATATCAGCAATCTGACCTGGGAGGACTCTGGACTTTACCAAGCCAAAGTCAACTTGAATATATCCCAGCTCTCTATCACAAAGTCTTACGATCTCCGTGTCTACCGTAAGTTTAGATTCCCATTATTCTGGCTTTCCTGAGTTTGGCATGACAGCTTGGGAGCTGAGGGAAGCTTTAAGAGGCTGAAACTAGAAGGAAGACTGCCTCTAGTGTTCTCTGTTCCAGGGCTTTAGCCACAGGGAGAGTGAGGTGGAACAAGGAGGCATTAGGCACTGAGGCTGTTTTCACAAACATCCACAAAGCAGTGAGAAAGATGAGGACCAAGTATAGAGTATCTAAAGCCCTTTCCCACTCAGGAGACTATGCATCCTCCAGATAAACAGCTCTTGAGCCCTTTATCCCCCTGTGTGATTTGAGGGTTACTAATAATTTCTTCCCCACTTGAACCAACATTTCTTCTCTCCACCTGCCACATTGAATCTACTTAGGAGCTTGGAGAGATGATTAAAATGTAAATGTCTTTGGAGGGCAGCAATATTTTGTACAATCAGAGAGACAGAAGAGGATCTGGAGGAAAGAGGGGTATAAAACTAATAGAATGAAGTTAGAAGGAGCCACTGGTGTACATCTGTCTAAGCAGATTCTCTGGGACCCCAAAACCACAAACGATGTGTTTGTTTTATCTCAAGATAGCAAGAATACCCAAGGCTTGAGAAACAGGAAAACAGATCCAACTTCAGAATGTTCACCAGATCATTGTGTTTTGTTTTGTTATTTGTTTGTTTTTCTCTTTTAGGGCGGCTGTCAAAGCCCCACATCACTGTGAACTTTAAGATCTCTGAGGAAGGCGCCTGTAACATATCCCTGATATGCTCTGTAGAGAGAGCAGGCATGGATGTGACCTACACCTGGCTTCCATCACAGGACAGCACTAACATTTCGCATGAAGACTCTGTCATCAGTACATCTTGGAGGCCTGGTGACACAGCACTTTCCTACACTTGTAGGGCCAGCAACCCAATCAGTAACAGCAGTTCCCGTCTCATCCCTGTTGGGTCCTTTTGTGCAGGTACCAGAACCTAAGGGACAATTTCTGAGCTTGTGTAAGTTCTGTGCTTCAGGACACCACCTCCTCCCATGCCTGGGGCTTTTAAGGAGAGACTCTAGAATATAGCATGCTCCTGTAGAGGGTTGCTACTGGATTGGGGAAGGACCCTCTCTAAGTCAACTGTTCTGGATTTCCAAAGGATTCTTCTGCACTTGGCTTGAGACTGATGGCCAGATATCAGTTCTTAAGATCTCAGTTCTTGAGTGTCTGTGCAGAGTAGGTATTTCTAGAGATATTTGCTATAAGACAGGGGCTGATTATTCACGCACAAACCTCCCTGTGACACTTTAGGTAGATGTCTGCCTTCCAAATTTACTGTTCTTCTAATGAACTCTTTTCCCTTCATCCTATCCCAGATCCTGGCTCTCCTGAGAAGCCTTCGATGTCCTGCCTCCTGGCTAAGGGCTTGATCCTTCTTTTCCTCTTGGTAATTCTAGCTGTGGTACTCTGTGTCTTTCAAGGCTGGAAAAACTATGAGATGTCAAGAGTGAGGAAACTCAAGAGAAACCGAATCAAACTAAGGAAGAAGGGGAAGCCTGGCCCTAGTCCAGTCTGATCACCCCTTGGGAACCCTTGTTACCTCTTAGCTTCCAGGGAAATCATCTGGGAGACAGGTGGGAGGGAGGATCAGGGTTGAACATCTGAAAGGGCCATATTCCTCAAGAGACACTATCTTGCAATAAAGTCCTCACCTCTCTGGAAGAGCTGTGCTTGATGCTTCTGTTTGTGCTGGGCAGCCTTGGGAAAACTGTTTTCCACCTTCACTACCTGTCTGGGTATCTTTACTGAAGCCCACATCCCTTCTCTGGCTTGCCTTTGGGCAGGAAACTGAATCTGCAAACCCCGTTAGAGTGAAGTGTTTGTTTTTACTACATGCATCCCATTCTTCACTAACCTAAGTCTTGTAATACTCTAAACTACAGAAAAGGCTTTCTTACCAAATGGAACTTGTGACAGCAGCTCATTCAGAATTCTGCATAAGTGTTCTATTCAAGCCAACTCTACCCCTATCCTCATTCTGACAGTTAACTTCACTTAACTTGTCTACCCACTGTACCAAGTCTACATAGAAGCTTTTCCACAGGGAGGTGATTGAGGCCCCTGCTCAGTCCTTCTCTGGGTTATAGTCGAGCTTAGTGGCTTCTGTTGTCTCCCTGATACCAGCTGCTCTGAGCCCTGCTGCTCACCGGAAGGAGTGACAACTCATTGGATCAATTACTAAGATCTTGTACCCTTGATTTTGTTTAAGGTCGACATTATTTAGCCGGGTGTAGTGGTACACACCTTTAATCCCAGAATTTAGGAGGCAGGTGGATCTCTGAGTTTGAGGCCAGCCTGGTCTACAAATCAAGTTACAGGACAATCAAGGGCTACACAAAGAAACCCTGTGTAAGTTGCTTTTGTTGGCCTTACTGGTTTGTTTGTTTGTTTTTTCCGTATAGATTTTCTGTTTGGGTTCTTCTGAGTGGAATCTTTGGTCAAAGTAGAGCTCTTTACTCTTGCTCTTTCCATAGTCCTAGGTTTGATGTTCCTATCATATGGTTTTCCCCAAATTAGATCTTGGGTATTTTACTTAGGCAACTGCCAGGGTTCAGAGGAGGAGGTACAAGAGAAGCCATTCAGTAAGTAATACATGAATTGGTGGAGGTGATATAGGATGCACCAAAGAGGGGCTGGGTGAGATCTTGGGAGACCTAGGTTTCACTCTTCTACTTTGCTCTGGGCTATGATACTGTGTTTACCCAACATCCATTGAGCCTCAGTTCAGATCCACAAGGAACACATACTTGAAAAGAAGGCATGGGTATAGCTTTTTGGAGTTCTTACAGAGATTCTGGGTCTCCTTTAAGTACTGAACAGTCCTGTCTTCAACAAAGGTCTGTAGCCCCAACTTCTGACACTTCCCCTTCCCATGTCCATCATAGGAGGTCCTCCAAAAGGGGAGGTCCTGCCTGTGCAAACTACCTGGAGTCTATTTTTTCACATAGAGGGCAGCCCATTTCTCTTGTCTTTAGGAGCTGGTATACAGAAAGCAAATAAAGAAATGAATAGTCCTTGTGTAGCTGGTCCAGGGATCTCCCTGGAATTGGCAGAATCCCTTATTCTTAGAGCCAATCTCTGAATAGAGAAAGCCCAAAACAGCCTGGAGAAGGAAGGCTTAGACTTTGAAGAGCGTATACCCTCAGAAGCCAGGATAGTCGTCTGGCAGCATGTAAGATACTCTTACTCATTATTCATAATAGGTTAATGCAAACTGGGGAATGGACATTCAAGCCAGACAGAAAGTACACACCAAGATGCCCATATTTGAAGGATCATAGCAACGAGTGACTGCCATGTCACACGCTGTGACACAGGGGTATGTGAGAAAACAGGCTGGAGAGGCATGTCCTGGAAGGTGAGAGGACCAGAGCTCATGGGCACATTATCAACAGACTCTTCAGGTCCACTATTCTCTGATATGTTCATCCAGAAATTGAAATATACAAGCTGGCTGATAATTAGATGCTGTTCTGGTTGGCTTGGATACATTTTTTTTCCAGAGGATTAATCACAATGGCTTAAGGACAAGCAGGAGGGAAATCTTTAGTTTTGACCTTTAGGGATTACTATCTTAAAAAATCAACTTCACTTCTGGAGTAAGAAGGGAATAGGTCATAGGACTAGGTTCCCTTTCTTGCAAAAACAAACCAAAACAAACACATAAGATCCACCAACCAGACAACAACAACAACAATAAATAATAATAATAGTAATAACAACAACAGCCAAGTTTTCGGGAAAAGCATGAACATATAAATTTTTAAAATTTGAAAACCATTTGAAATCTCATTTTATATAAACAACATATTTTAACATCCACATGAGATTAGTTTATCTACCAGAAACCACCACAGACAGCAGAAACGAAACTCTTGGACCAGTGGTGGGCCAGTGCCTTCTAACTGGTAGGGAACCAAGAAATCAAAGACTTCCCTTATGTTCTGTTCACTAACATGATGTCACCCACCATGCCAACTGTTAGGGCAGCCTACCATGCAAACTAACTGCAAAGCCTGGAGTTCTAGGTCTTCTAGGTCTTTGTTGGGGTAGTAGGAAAGACCATGTTTCTGCTCCAGCCTTCTTTTCCTTATCCAAGTTCTTTGTGTGGCTCAAAACACTCAAGCATTAAGACCTAAGAATGTTCCGGCTCTCAGGACTTACTAAGGATGGATAGCCAACTACAGCAATGGGATCAGATCCCGATGCCCACTGCAGAGTGTGTTAAGACAGTGATTCAGGTGTGCTTACAATCTTTCCCCAGAGTCTGCTCCCAACCCCGATTTCATTAACTCCATGACTGTGGAAGAAATGTCCAAGGGGGTGGGTTCCATGATTCAGGTTGGATCTGAATGCAGACCCTGAATGTGCCTAGGTGGCAATTCTTGGGCAAGTTCCCCCATCTGGTCCATGGGCTGTTTTCTCCCTAGTCAGAAGGAGCTGTACTCACTTCGCGGGCTTTCCGTGCAGAGTACAGGAGCAACGAACGAAAGCATGAATCTACCCCAGGGGTTGGCACCCTGCAAGGGGTTCAGTGAAGGATCAGTTATTTCATTCTTTCTCTTTCAATGTCCGTTGTTAGGGTGCCTGTCATTCCCCCCCCCCCCCCCCGGGCTTATTTTTCTAGGTCCTTGGTGCAACGAGCTGCCCCAGCAATCACACACTAGGACATCAGTCTTCAGGAAGCTACACACAGGGAGGCGCCAGGGCAAAAGCTGGGAGCTAGCCAAAACAGACAGGTATTTCCAGTCCAGCGAGAGGAAATGGGTGGGGGTGGGGATAAACAGAGGAGATCAGATGGGTCCCGGACTTGGGTGGATCCCCAGGGAGGGGGCGGGGAATCGTGCTCTCCGCCAGGTGCTCCTGCCCCTGGCTCAGATTTCAACCTTCGATGCCTACTTTGTGGAACGCTTGTTCGGAAAGGGGAGAAGGCCGTAGGTAAGTTATGAAGGAAGGAGGGTATGCAAGCAGCCTGCAAAGGGGGTAGGCTTCTGCGGCTATTGGTGTACGGATCGGTCTGACCCAGTAGCCCATCCGACTCGAGGCGGGAAGAGGCGACCAGCCTTCCCACGCTTAGTTGTACAGAGCTCCACGAGAGGGCGACTGGAGCCCACGTGCGACCGCGTCCTTCTGTCTCTAAACTACAACTCCCAGGCGGCTCGGGGGTCCCACCCGCCTTGCCCGGCCTCTGTTGGCTCCAATTGGACGCCGCGGGAGGGGGGGGGGATTGGCGGTCTCCAGGGCGACGGGAGGCGCTCGGGGCATCTGAGGCGGGGAGGCGGGTCCGCCCCCTATTGTGTGGCTGCGAGAGCAGAGCTGTGCGGTGCAAAGCAGGTGAGGGTGGGGGTGTCCTGGGGCGTTGAAAGGGGTATTGGAGGGGACATGGGGAGCGGTGAGGAGTTGTGGGAGACAGGGGGGAGCGGTGGAGCTCTAGAGAGAAGTGAAATTATCTGGGGAAGCAGAACTAGGGTAGTTCTGGGAGCGAAGTGGAATTACTGATGGGTGAGTGGGGGGTTCTCCGAGATCTGGAAGAGTGTTAGAGGTAATTTAGGGGCGTTCTTGGCGGGTTCCAAAAGAAAGGCGTTCCAGGAGCCAGAGAATGTGAGGGAAAAGAGAATTGTTGTGATAGACTATCTGAAGTGTATTGTGGGCTGAGTCCTGGAGGATTGGGGGGTGGGGGGGTTCTCGGGAGAGCAGGGTGGGGAGGGGGAGGGCAACTGGAAATTCTGGAGGAGGCCAGCCAGGGGTGCTTTTGAAGCGAGGACCTGCTGCAATTGGAGATCAGGTGTGAGAAGCTGGAATTTTGCAGACACTGTGAAAAGTGTATGGCTGGGATGGGAGTCCTAGGAGCGAGGCAGTGCTGGATGGGATGAGAATATCACAGGGACGGAGGGTGGGTGGGGAGAAGGAGTTGGAAAGGCTCCAGGAAAAGTGGGATACATTCTGGGGATGCCTGGGTCAAAAGATTCTTGGTCGAGCCAGAAGAGAATAATGACTTCTATATGGTACAATTGGAAGGCTTTCCAGGCAAGTCCAGGAGACCGGGATGGGGGCAGCAGGAGGCAAGGGAATTAAGTAGCCAGGCTCAGGCATACAGGGGCGATACTGCCCCGTGGAGGGTATTTTACAGACAATACTGAATTGCATGAGGCCCAGAAAAGGGTGGAGGCCTCAGAGCAGAGTCCACTGGGTTTGCCAGGCCCAGGTCAGGGCCCTTTGGCCCTTTGTGCCTGCCTTAGATGGTGAGGAGTTGGTACTGTTAGGAGTGCCTAGCTTACATGCTCCGGGGTTCATTTTGTGTATTCTAGGGACTCAAAGCCTTTTTGATTTCTCTTAGATCATGCCTCTAGGGTTAGGGAATGGAGGGCCTGGCAAATCCTGGCACCCCCAGGATACTAGAGAGGAGTGCGTGGGAGTAATTAGGGTGAGGCACAAAGTCGGGGTGTTTGGGGGAGGGCTCCTTGGCAGCATCTTGAAGAAAGTGACTACAGCTGCCAGCCCTGGATCTGTCCAGACCTGAAGGATGCTGCCCCCACCCCCCATTCTTCTGCAGGTGGGGAAGGGCAAGCTCCTCCTCTCCCAGGTCCCTGACTCACTCACTGCCAACAGCAGCGTTGATTGAGTGGAGAATGTCTCCAGGGTCCAGGGCTCAACACAGAGGG